AAGAAGATTGTGCTGAGTAGAGACATCACATTCAATGAGGCTTCAATCTTAAAGCTTTCCAGCTCTCATCAGGTAGAGAGCAACCTGATAGAGGAGATATCGTAGGTGGTGGAGATTGATGCAGCTCCACATTGTCCAAATGAGACCGTATCCATTAGAGTGCTGACTGAGGTGATGCCAGATGAGCACGGCGATAATTTAGAGGATATAGGTACAGTTGAGCAGGATCAGGGACCAACAACTCAGGTTTAGGATTCTATTGCGGTTTGAAGACCAAGGAGAGACATACGGATGCCAGCGAGATATACAGACACAATATTTATGTATGCACTTCCGGTGGAGAGTGTCCATGAGATGGTTCCTACTACATTCAGAGAAACATAGCATAGTTTGGAGGTTAATTTGTGGTAGGTGGCTATGCAGGAGGAGATATAGTCTCTTCATAGGAATGACACATGAGAGCCTCTTCATAGGAATGACACATGAGAGCTTGTCGAGCTTTCAAAGGGAAGGAAGGCTATTGGTTGCAAGTGAGTGTATACGAAGAAGGAGGGCATTGAAGGTACTCCCGTGAGGTTCAAGGCTAGGTTGGTTGCGAAAGGATATGGGATATGCATAGGAGGAAGGTATTGACTATAATGAGGTCTTCTCTTCGGTGGTGAAACATTCTTCGATTCGGATTTTGCTAGCTTTGGTGACACAGTATGGTTTGGAATTAGACCAATTGGATGTGAAAACAATATTTCTTCATGGTGATCTTGATGAGGAAATCTATATGACTCAGCCATTGGGGTTCTGAGCTATAGGGAAGGAAAAGTTAATTTGTAGGTTGAAGAAATCGTTATACATGCTGAAGTAATCTCCTCGACAGTGGTATAAATGATTCGATGGGTTCATGATCAGCCATTCGTACATTAGGAGCTAATTTGATTATTGCGTGTACCATCGCAAGTTGAATGGAGATGCGTACGTTTACTTATTGCTTTATGTAGATGACATGTTGGTTGCTTCTATTTCCAGATCCGCCATAGATAGTTGAAGATTCAGCTTTCGAGCTAGTTCAAGATGAAGGATTTGGGTGAAGTGAAGAGCATTTTGGGAATGGAGATCGGCAGAGACAGAGACAAGGGCAGAATTTTTTTGATACAGGTGGCTTATTTGAAGAAGGTTCTACATCGATTCAATGTGAGCATGGAGATAAAGCCAGTTAGTGTACCATTGGGAGCCTATTTGAAGCTTTTAACTGACCTTTCACCGAAGACAGTTGAAGATAGAGAGTTGATGTTGAAAACTCCATATGCGATCGCAGTTGGAAGTTTGATGTACGCTATGGTTTGTACGAGATTGGATTTGTCACAGGCAGTGAGCATGGTTTCGAGATACATGTACGACTCGGGTCCGGGTCAGTGGGATGCTGTGAGATGGATTTTAAAGTACATTCGAGGTACTCTCAACGTTAGTTTGGTTTTTGAGTGGGACACTAGCGGTGGACAGCTATGTATTGGATACGTAGATTCATATTACACTGGAAATTTGGATAAACGTCGGTCGACGACGGGGTATGTGTTCAATTTGACCCGTGCGCCGGTGTGTTGGAGATGCACATTACAGTCTGCGGTGGCTTTGTCGACGACGAAGGCAAAGTATATGGCGATTACGGAGGCTGTTAAGGAGGCGATTTGGCTTCGAGGACTTTTGGAGGATCTTGGTGTTTCGCAACGATCCGTCACCACTTATTGTGATAGCATGAGTGCTATTTATTTGATGAAGAATCAGGTCTTTCATGCGAGGACAAAGCACATTAACATTTGTTATCACTCCGTTCGAGATGTTCTTAAAGATGGGGATGTGGAGCTCTTGAAGGTCCACACAAAAGATAATCCAGCGGATATGCTTACAAAGGTGGTTCCGAGCAACAAGTTCGATCATTGCAGAAACTTGTTACAAATTTGTGATTGTTAAGGCCGTTCGCGACCATTTGGATGAACTACGAACGGCTTGATCGCTTGAGAGAGGGGATACGTAGGCAACCTCATTGGTGCAGCTAGATTCGGTGAGACGATACATTGGTGTTTAGGTTGGTGTCGGCTCAATTTTGGGAAAACTTCGCCGAGGTGGAGAATTGTAGAAAATGGCGAAGGATTTGAGAAAATCATGCAAAAACACAAGTACGAGAAATCCCTCAGGTCGGTCGACCGACAGCATAGGCCCGGTCAACCAACAGATTGTTGAAATACAAGATTAGAAACCCGTCTCTAGTCGGTCGACCGAATGGATTTGATCGGTCGACCGAACGAGTGTAGTTGGTCGACTGAAAACGTGCACATTACAAGGTTCAGAATTCGGGTCTCTGACCGGTCAACCGACTCGACATGTCCGATCGACCGGAAAGCGGATACAAGCTTGTTTTGTTTTCCTGGTTGGTTTTGGATTGGGTGTTTGATATAAATACAAACACATTTTTTAGGGCTTCTTAAGGAGAGAATTACATTGTTTTGAGCACTTTGAGAGGGAGATATTGTGAGGAAGTTAAGAGCTTTGGTTAGGGCTATATTTAAGTGATTTTGTGAGTGTACCCGTTATATTTCTCCTCCATATAGTAAAATCTCTCAATTCTCTCCCCGTGAACATAAGCAATTGCCTAACCACGTTAATCTTTTTGTTTGGTTTGGTTTGAGCAGTATTTTGGTAAATTGCACTCATATTTGGTTTTGGTTCTCTTCTCTCATTGCTTGCGGACTCGTTTAGTTGTCGAACACGCTTCCGCATGGATGGTCTTTGTGCAATCCACCCAACGTTATTTTATGTACGAATGAAATTCGAAACATTCCATACAATGCTAAAAGCAACAAAGGAAATAGTACGTCAGTTGTACTTTTATCTTGAGCCTCGTGCACGGATGCATGCACTCATTTTTTTTTTATCCAAAACTGCAAGATTCACAGTAAATGAAGTGCTACGCAAGAAACAAACGACTCAGTTTGCTTTCTCTTGAGCATCCTTGACTGAATCCGACGTAACACCCATAAGCTATAACTTAAGCTGCCATTTTCTGCCAGTTAATTTGCTTGAAACATCATCACCACCAACTCTACTCTCCTACTATAAAAAGACACGCCTCGTCTCCATCCAAATCTCCATACGATCTCTCATTCTCTAAATGGAAGAAACCACTGAAATCAAAGTTTCAGACAACTGGGTCACAACTGTGTTCGAGCCCCAACCCGAGCAATGCCACAATGAGACTGCAAACTACACGATCGACACAACCGAAGCCCCCGAGAAGAAGCTAACCCTTTTTGCCCTCCGCCTTGCCATTCTCGAAAAGTCTGCTAGCGGGATCGGAGCTCTAGGGTTCCTCTGGGCCACCGCCGTTCTCCTCGGAGGATTCTTAAGTAATTTGCAGACGGAAGATTTCTTGATCATAACGGTTATTCTCCTTGTTGAGGGTGCCAGGATCTTCAGCCGAAGCCATGAACTCGAATGGCAGCACCAGGCGACTTGGTCCATTGCTGATGCTGGAAAGTACAGCTTTCGTGCAATTGTGACAAGTTCGAAAGTCATGATCAGTGCTGTTAAATTCGTGTTCAAACCCTTTTCAGTTGTTAATTCTAATCTCACTGACGATATTCAGAGAGTCGTCTCTGCAAGAAGCACAGACAGTGCTCAGTTGAGGAAGCGATCATGGGCTTTTCTCTCGAAAAATATCAGCAAAGTACTCTACTGGTTGCAGATACTCTCAGCCTGTTCTTGTGTATTGCTCTCATTGATGAGGCTGATACAGCAGGATTATGGCAATATCGATAGCAAGGACACCAAGAATCTCAAGCCAGCACTTGATATATTCTACAGCTTGTCTCTTGCAGAAGCCTTGCTCTTTCTCATTGAGAAATCCTATTGGGAATGGAAGATCGGCTACAAGCGATTGCTCGATCAGGTGAACAATGATTGCAACTTTGGCCCGTCGGGAATTGTATCAATAAAGCGCTTCTTCTATGACTCATACTCGAAGTGTGTTGATGGAAGTATCTTTGATGGGCTCAAGATGGACTTGGTGTCCTTCGCCGAAGAACTTCTAGAATCTAATTCGCCCGATGAACAGCTCATAGGTGCACGAATCCTTCATAAGTTTGTAACCTGCCCACGTTTTGCCAATGAGACTCTCAGAAAGATTGGCAGTTCAACGCCAGTTATCGATAGA